TTGTTTGTAAGTGACATTTACTTCAGGCCAAACTAGTTAACGTCCATGTTAACCTATGGAAGGCAATAGCTGTACGATTGAAAGTGCAATTTATATCTTACTGATGAATTTATATGCATCTTACTGATGAATTTATATGCATCTTACTGATGAATTTATATGCATCTCAATGATGTGCCTTTTGTCATAGATTACACCAGCAATTGCGCTTAGAAATCTATGCACATCCAGATGCCAGATTGCCTTAGCAGAGTGTTTCTCAACCTGGTGTTTCTCAGAAATAATGTCAACGCAATTCTTATTTGGTTATTTTTTATGGTTATTTTATTTAATTAGCTAATGATTTCAGTAACACTTAAGGCCATGTTTTAGTAACACATCCATAATGTGTTATAATGCATTCATAAAGCATTATAAACATGGCTATAAATCTTTATAAAAAGGCATTATTAGTTGTTATTGTGTTTAGGAATTACTAAAAACATGGCCTTAAGTGAAGTATTACCATGATTTCTAAATCAGATGTTGATCCATTTGCTCTCCAGTTCACTGTAATAACTTAAAATTATCAGTGGGACAAAAGAACCAAACCAGGGGAACCATCCATCCCTCCATCCATCCCTCCAAGCAGCTTCTAACCATTTATCCAGCACCATACACAGACATTTTAAGCACCTATATATAAAGCAGGTTAGGCAGCTATATTAGTATTTTGAACCAGGCCAGTAGAGTATGGAGGTCTATTTGAGGTCAAACAAGGTATGATATAGCCCAGGCTAATACACTTTATATACTGTTCCAGCTATCACATATTCAAGTGATCAAGGCAGTTCATGAAGTTCCAAAAAACAGCAACGTCGATATATTCCCAGAACAAACTTCTTTATTCTTTGCATACTTCATTATTTCGTCATATCAGAATTTTACTATCTGAACAGCAATGCCCCAAAATAATTGTGACACGCTGATGCACCTTATTACTAGGCAAAAACATGTGTGTGTTTGTGTGTGTGTGTATAAAATTTATATTACATTGTGGAGACCAAATGTACCCCACAATGTGATAAAAACCTGTTTTTGACGTTGTGAGGACCATTTTTCAGGTCCCCTCAAAGATCTGTGAATGTAATCAAAAAACAAAAAAAGCGAAGTCTCGTTTTTTGTTTATAGTAATTTGTGGTTAAGTTTGGGGCTGGGTAAGGGCTTAAGGTCATCATGTTGGGATTAGAATTTTCCCCATAGAAATGAAGAGTCCCCACAAAGAAACTTCTGTCTGTGTGTGTGTGTGTGCAATCATACAATTAATACTGGAAAAGTAAACCAAGATGCAAAAGCTTTAACTGCGCAATCGCTAATTGCGCGATGCGATTCCGATTATACGTACGCAGGGTTTTCGGATCTTTTCTTCACCCTCCCTGACAGTTGAAGCGGGGCCCCATGTCTCTGGCTCGCGCCGTCCGCGCTGCCGATCGCCGCGGGCACTCGAGTCAGGGTCTGCATTGGCAAAGGGGGCAGTGAGTCACATGAAGCGTCTAGCACATCCAACGCAAAGTGCACCAGAAAACTCCCACCAGGAGAGAAACTTACAGCGTGCGGCTCATTGATCACTATCTGCAAAATGTTAAATGGTGATTGCATGGGTGTTGCTGGACCAGAGTTAAATCTTTGTTGATCATATAACGACAGTACTGCCAGCATCATGGTGCGGAGTCTCATATACAAAGTACAATCACGTAAGATTTACCACGAACTTTTTCACAAAAGCAAGGTTCCTTAAGATAACAATTAGACGGCAGTTTGGTGTTGAAAACAGCTGGAATATCTGTGTTAATCAAACCCACTTTGCGACATAACTTTAATTTTGTGAAAATGGGTCATATGCAGAAAATCATATCCCGATTGATGTACCTGCTAGTTAAGTAATTAGTCACAGGTTGGTGCAAATCTTACCTCTTAAATCTCGTTTGCGTTTTCAGTGATGTACAATCGCTCCGCGACTGGTAGATTAGAAGCAGTTCGCTTCAAAGTATCCCTGAACTCTAGTACTTATCATATTCGCGTTTCTGTTGCATCTACTTGACGGGGGATCTTTACCTACTAGGCACACCCACAGCACTGCTCCCGGTTTTGATCAGCAGATACATTTACTACAGAGGAAACCGCAGGCTGCTCACACCCTTCCTGCCGAAAACAGCACTTCGCTGCACTGCACACTCCACCTGCCTCCCTCCACCCGCATTACTACCTCTTAGCAGTACATACATTCGGGTCTTCTGCATACAGCAGTGTCACAATCGGTGGAAAGACTGTGGCACAACATGTTGTCACAGTAAACCACAGGAAGAGCTACTTAGCCGCTGTAAATATACACGCGTGTACCAAAGCCATTTTTGGGCTTTGGATACCATTAAAAGCACACCAGTCGATACAGAAATGATGACTGGCGAGGCAACAAAAGACTTTCCAGAGTTTTCATTTAATCCATTAAAAAAAAAAAATCCTGCTCTTTAAGCAACTTGCGTGTACGCACACATATACATATATGTGTTTGTATGTGTTTGTTTTTTGAGGAGACTTTATTTTTAAACTCAGGAATGGACCAAGGAAGGAAGCCACCATCAGAGGGAGAGTGTGTCGCTAGTTGACTTCCTGTCCTCCCATGACGTGAACCAACAGCCACTTCTGCATCTTGAGAGTCTGCTGCACTTTTTTCATGAACTGAACTGGGGTTCCAGAGACTGTTAGATATATTTTCAGTGTATAGGCCATTGGTTTCTCATATTTCCTACTCTGCACTGTGAAAACCTCAGAGGGTTTCGAAGACTTGCATGCTATTTTCAGCCTATGTCGCACCAGTGAAAAGTCTGGACACACCCATCTAAAGAAAGGTTTATTTGTACTATTCTCTACATTTTAGAATAATTATAAAGACATATATGGAGTTATGCACGGACCAAAAAAGCGGTGTTCTGTGGGTTGGGACTCAGAAGGTTGCTGGTTCAAATCCCATGGTCGGCAGAGCGATGCCTCCATTGGGCCCTTGAGCAAGACCCTTAGCCTCAGTTGCTCCAGGGACCAGCTGCCCCTACTGTCTCCCCTACGGCAGTTTCATGAGGTGGCCTCCTGGGATGCTTTTATAGCTGTCCTGAAGGAGGTCCCACTAATATGCTGAACACTCATTGGCTGCTTTTTCTTCACTTTCTGGTCAAACTCCTCCAAAACCATTTCTATTGTGTTTAGGTCTGGTGGCCAGGTCATGTGATGCGGCACCATCACTCTCCTCTGTAGGTGGTTTGGCGTGTCCAAACTATTCACTAGTACTGTACGTACCCATAGCTCCCACTCCTCACCACCCACACTTTGAAGTTTCAGTCATCGGCTGGTAGCGTGTTGTGGTTAGAGACCTTTACTTGTGCCACAACCTTCAGGTAGGAGAACAAAAGAAGTATTTTGTGTGTTAATGATCTTCAATGGGGAACTTCAACTTCAGTTACTTAACATTCAGAAGTATGAATGATGTATATGTATACTAGCTGTATAAATAATAATCTGTATAAATTTGAATGTTCAAAGTAATTGCAACATTGAGCAATCAGTCATCTTTTTCCATCATTTACTTTGGATTCGGTCAAGCCCCTTTGTATTCCTGATGACAGCAAACCCCTTTGCCAAATTCTGCCTTGTCATTTTAATTCATCTAGCCTTGATATATCAGTGTGAACTCCAGCTGGGCCTTTTGCAAATATGAAGTTTCATGTGTCAGTTACAGAGGGCTTGTTTTTCACCTCTGCTGACTCATTGTGAGTTTCAACAGTTATTCGGTCCTGATAAAAACTGAGAGCAAATGGAGAGGCCAAAGCAAAGGACTGCAAGATTTAAACGGGCAAAAGGAAATGTGATCACTTTCTCGGGTGTCCTGGAAAAACCATGCAACAAATTCAAGCTAAAATAGAGAGCACCGTCATTATGGATCGCATTTTTAACGACTTTTAAGAGAATCAAACAATTCTATTCCCACATTGAACATAATTTCTATGACCTTAAATGTAGGCAGTCTATTTTTAGTTCAAATCCCAAGAGAGCTCATACTACATATACCTCCTATAGTGGAAACCTATATTTCCACAATGAATCAGACAGCTAGCCTATATACATTTGTAAAATTATAAGGCAGTTAAAAAAAGGAAGTCATGCAGTAATGTCACCTCTGAAAAGAAAGCTTTAGACCAGATTGTGTATACATATCAATGGACACAATTTTTTCACTAATCTTTGAGACCGCTGTTTGGGACTGAGCGTAGCCTATTTTAAGGACATTATGTCATACTTACCTACATCAGTACCAACTCGGATGTATATTTAACTCATTTTCAAAGCACCCAATATAAAATGTGCGGGTGATAGAAAAGACCAATAATATAGCTCACAAAAATATTTTTCAAAAATTGAAATTATTAATTTTATTGACGGCATGCTCCCTCTTGTGGAAAACGTGTGGAATTATTATTTTCTGAATAATTCATAGGCTTTTACTTAGTGTATCAATTCAACGTTAAAAGCGACGTTAGTTCTCATACATATACCTCATTTTGGCAATATTTACAATATCCCCCTTTCTGAACAGTAATCTGGAGCTAACCGTGACTATTTTTCTTAAAAACAACCACTTAATACATTACGATAAAAAGTTACATTGCAATAAATGTAATAAAAATTGTAATTAATAGATTTGTTAACAACATTGGCGTATAGTATTAAATGTCCATTATGCTAATTTTTCATATGAATATATCCCTGGTGTATACTTAATATTAACTAATACGAGGTTTTTTTTATTATACATCCAGTTCACAAAATCCTCTGTAAACAGGCCGAATATGACGATCCCGATCCTTTAATTACTGTCTGAACCTAAAAGAGGAAAAGGGTTCAAATTATTATTTTAAATATAATTACGATTTCCGTTCAGGTTACACGTTTGCGTATGTCCGCGTCACGTGACGGGGTCAGAGGCTCACTGGCCTCGGACGGAAGTGACGTAGTTCAGTGTCGCTTCGCTTGGTGCGCAGTAGCCTCAGACATTCGAGACGAATAATATCATAACCATAAAGTTTGGGGGGTGGGGAAGACAAATCCACAGGAAACCATCGACGGTCGGTAAGGAGACATCGAGCGACGTGCATAAACGCAGCTTTTTGCCCGATCGGGCCTGCTTTCGTCTAAACGCTTTTACCTGTTGCGAAGTACACTTGATGCTAGGGGACGGTTGTTGTAAGGATGAATAATGGGGGCAGATGGATGATGCGAGGGCGCCCGGACTCGGTTCCGCGGCCCTGCTCAGTGGCACGTCCGGCGATCGTCCTCGATCGGTGCCCGTCCCTGGCGGCCCACGCTGTCGCTTAATTCTGGGTAACTTACCGTCCACGTAGATGCGGAGCTTGACAGGCGTAAAATTCACCCAAAGCACGGCAGTCGATGGCGGTGTAATTCCAAAATACCTGCAGATATGTTAGCGCTATGTAAGCATGCATTGTAAGATTTAAAAAAAAAAAAAAAAAACGCAATCTGCGGGCGGTATAACATAAATGGTGGATCAGTCACTAAAATACGCTATGCCCGACGTTTTTAGCGGTTTTTTATGAGGATTTGATGCGTGCTTTCATTGTAGCTGTATTAAGGTCACTTTTACAGCAGCGGCATTTCGGGTTGATATGCACATATTGAATAGCGCCACTCTATTTTTTTGCATATGAACTGAAGCTTTTATTGGGGGAAAAACAGCAGGTTTACAGAAATCACTGAAATTCGTTATTTAAAATTGCAAGTTCCTTACTGGCGATATGCTAGAGGACATGCCGAGTTTCCACTGGTGTTTGGTCAGGCATTTGCGAAGCTGATCACCTGTGTAGTCCCTTAACCATTACGTGACCCATTTTAAGACCTGACTGCGGGACTTAAAATAGGTCATTAGATGGTTAAGGGGCTGGACTGGGCTCAGAGAAAGATTCTACACGTTTTCTACTGGAGTCTAAGAACATTTGCAATTTCCCAGAATGTTTGATTTCGTGACTGTGAGTTTGTAGCTGGTTAACGCTCAGTGGCGCCCAGGACTGAATAAACGGTTATTAAATATGGAAGGATAGACGTTTCTGTTCTTTTATCATTGATTAAAGTAATTAATGAGCAGAACACATTATTTTAAGAGTGATGGTGAAATTTTGGACATGTTTTCGTCTTAGCAGCCAGAACCCCAGAACTTCAGCATGAACCCGGTTTATAGCCCCGCTTCCACTGGAGTGCCCTACTCCAACCCCAAGGGAATCGGATACCCGGGTAAGCAGACATCGGCGTCACTGGGAATGCCGCGTCTTCCCCCCCCCCTCCCCCAAGTCAGTGCCATCACCGTGACGTTTGCCTCCTGTCTCTCCGCCTGTTGTTCAGCGGCCACTTTTCCAGTGGGATACGCCGCCACTGTTCCGGCATATTCCCCGAGTATGTACCCTGGAACCAGCACGGCCTTCCAGACAGGTATGGCAGAGCCTCGTCGCCGTCATATTCTCCCGGATTCCCTTAGCAGACTCCGGCGCGCGGAGCTGTCCGTCCAGACTGCAGGGGTTATTTGATACTCTCGACCTTTGCTGAATGTTATATCAGTGGCGTTGACTGTGCCGTGTCACACTCAGAAGTGAAATTACTGTTTGTGTGTTGCGTGCACTTTGTGTATCTGCGAAAAATTTTTAACGTTATCGTTTAACTGTTGGGGGGGTTTTAATGAAGCTGCTTTGAGTCGCTGAGTGTCCTGTACGCGAGAGCCATGTTCCTGGAGCTCCCTGCTGGGCTCACCTTGCACCGCGGCTACACTTCCAGGTTACACTCCTGGGACGCCGTACAAGATGTCGTGTTCCCCCACCACAGGGACAGTGCCCCCCTACTCGTCATCGCCTAACCCCTACCAGGCAGCCGTGTACCCCGTGAGGAGTGCCTATCCCCAGCAGAACCCCTACGCGCAGGTGAGACACCTCCCCCCCCCACGCCAGCGATCATCTTTTCTAGCAGATTCTGACGTTTGCTGGCTTGTTTGCTTGCAGGATTTGGCTTTCTCCCAGATGTGGGTGATGAGTGAATGTTACATTTATATAGGGCTTTTGAAGATAGAGAAATCAACAATTAGAGATATCAGGAGAGAAGTCAACAATTAGAGAAAGGGGATGATTTGGAGGTCAGATTTCATAGGGCCATAATAGGCGGTTTGGCCACTGGGCACTGGGATACCGGCCCTAACCCTTTTGAAAGATGCCCAGGGGTCTTTTATGGCCACAGAGAGTAGGGACCTCGGTTTTACGTCTCATGTGAAGGATGGCACTGTTTTTACAGCTCAGTGTCTCCGTCACTGCACTGGGACACTGGGATCCACACAGACCACTGGATGGGCTCCTCCTGTTGGCCACACCAACACCTCTTCCATCAACAACCCAGCTTTCCCAATTGGTCTCACATCCCAAGTACTGGCCAGGCCCAAACCTGCTTATCTTCAGGTGGATAACCTGGGCTGAACTGCAGGTGGTGTGGCTGCTGACTATTTGCTGGTGGATAACCCTTTATCCATCAGCCCAGTTAGGTGTTTGTGCACTTAAGGTGGTCTCTTCATAAATATGATGGGGCGATGTACGAGCTGAAAACAGGATTCTTCTAGGCCTCTAATGATGTCATGTGCCCTTCAATGCACATGACATCAGCGGTCAGTGAACCGGAACGTTCCGCTGCTGGAGGCGGACCTTAACGGGCAGGTGTTCGCATGGCGGTTGTTTGTTTGACTGACTGTGTCCACCCCCGTGTCAGCAGCAAGGCGCCTACTACTCCCAGCCCCTGTATGCGGCCCCCCCACAAGTCATCCATCACACCACGGTGGTGCAGCCCAATGGGATGCCGGCTGCCATGTATGCCCCACCCATCCCCCCTCCCCGCGCCAACAGCGTCCCCATGGGGATGGTGGCAGGAACCACGATGGCCATGTCAGCCGGTAGGTCGAATGCCGTGGAACGTTGCTCCGTCACCTATACATGCTTGCTGGTGCTAAATGCTAACGCTAAACACGCTTTCTCCACCCCCGTGCTCCTAAGGGACCCTGCTGACGACTCATTCCCCGACTCCAGTGGCTCCTCACCAAGTCACGATGCCTACGTACCGCCCCCCCGGTACCCCCACTTACAGCTATGTGCCCCCCCAGTGGTAAAAGGCCAGTAATGTGAGTAATCCTTTTTCCATCCATTAACCTAACATACTGTTTAATTTTTTATGCATTTATAATTGCAAAAACCCAGTTCAGTATAGATCTGACATTTTTATGCAATGCGTCTTAGAGTATAGGAATGAGCTACAATGTTTTTTGTCCATGGGATTCGAACCCATGACGTTTCTGTTTTTGGTCTCCTATTCTGTCAATCAGAATTCAGCATTTTTGCCTTGTTTTGTGTACGTTTTCCTTGCCCCCCTCCTCCCCCCTTAGGGTGAATGTGATCGATATGCCTCCATCTTCAGTCTGGTGTCATAGACAAGATGGTGAACCCTTGTCATCTCCATCCAAGATCTCATTCTTCCGAAACGACGAAAAACAAAAACGGGCAAAAAAGCTATCCTTCCAGTACCGGCACATTGTGCCGAACCGACCCAATGCCTCCCCTCCCCTCCCCTCCCCTCCCCCACTTAACCTCTCTGCTGTTTCCCACATCTGGTGACAAGGATTTGATGCACGTGTTCTCTCTGGACTGCCTGCCTTCCGAATTAGTGGTGTTGAGTTTGGAGTTGGGGATGCCCTTTTCGTTATACACGTTCCTGTACCACGTCGTAAAAGATGCTTGCTCTAATCTACCTGCAGCCACTAACGCAAATCTCCAAAGTAATTTCATAGCTGGACAAGGGTTAAGACAGCTAGCACTCAGTATCACTAATGCAGTCTTAATGTTACTTAAGAGTAGTATTCCTTTCAAACGGATGTGTAAATTTATGTTAGTTATACAATGGTCAGTGCAGTATACGTTGAACAAACACTAGCGTTTAGATAGTTTGGTGTTGGCAGAACGGTCATTCCAAACCGGTTTTTATTTCACTGACTGATGCTGCATCGTATCTTACTTTTTCCTTCAGTATTTTGTAAAGGTTTTTCGTTTTGTTGTTTTTTTTTTTGACGTGAATGAGTGGGCAATTCTTCTCAGATTGCCTGCCCTGTTCTTACTCCCATCCACATTGTGTGTGTGTGTGTGTGTGCGTGTGCTCATACACGTGTGTGCGCATTTTAACGTGAATGAACAACCCTGCCGGACACACGATGACCCAGAGTCGGCACACAGCACATTTAGCTTACTTAAATGACTTAGGTCGTTTTAAGCGTCTGGCCAAATTCGCTGTGGTTTTAATGCCGCCATCTTTGTTGGGTCAGCTAGGAGACGAGCTGGCTGTCCCTCTGCGTCACGCAGCCTGTCACCGGCAGTCTAACAGCACTAAGATGCGACATGACCAAGCAGGTGAACGGTAAACAAACAGATTTAATAGCAACAGAGATTAGGTTTGAAGTTTTACTGTCAGCTGTTTCCCGGAGCTCTGAATTAATGCTGGGATCCATGAAAAGGGGGCATTCGTTTAAATTCCCGCTGGTCGTCTCGTCCAGACATTCCTCATTGCGGTACTGGGGTATTTCGGCGCTCTTCGGGAAACAGTATGGATCCTGACTCTGCTTCCAGATGGGCATTCGGGGGGGTGGGGGGGTGTGTCTATGCACAGAGAGTATTTAACATCGCAGAATTCTGGTGTGTCCCTATAGAGGAGGGGCTTGCTGTGCCTAGAGTATCCAAAAATGTTGTAGGATAGCTGTTACTTAAAATGAAAGTCTCCCCCCTCCAAAAAGAGGTTATCGCTGTGTGATTTAAGTGTTTCACAGTGTTCCAGGTAGGAAATTTGAAACTGGTAGTTTAATTGAATTTAATTGGCATCTATAAACGATTAGCACTCCTCAGTCTAATTGGGGATTGGACCCATCCCTTTGAGCAGGGGAGCACCGCGAAGGTGACCAGTTGCTTGTGACCACACGACTTTGTTCATTCCTCCGACTCAGCCCCATCCTCAACGCGACCGCGGCTCTGGTTGACCGCCGGAAGGCAGCTGCACGGCGACTTGCATGCATGTGTGTGTTCCTTGAACGAGACGCGTGGACAAGCTTTGCACGGGATGCGCCGTCGGATTAAGCAGGAAGGCCGAGATCCGGGGGTGGGGGAAGGCTGGATGTTCCCAAAAACACATCCTAACTGGGGTTAACGGCTCCACGGTAGTCATCCCGGAAGATTGAGCCGGGCGTGTGCATGCGTTAAACGTCCGTTTGTGCTTGGCTTTATCTGCTTATCGGATTTGTTCTGTTAGAGTCGTACTCTTGCTTGTTTTGCCCACTTTTAAGATTTAAGATTATGCCCTGGCAGACCGGGGCGGAGCAGGACGGCCTCGTTAGTGGTCCGGCTTCCTGGCCAGGGTGGGGGAGGGGGTGTGCTGTCATTGTATCAGGGTTTGGGTGACTTCTAAACATTCGATACAGTGACTACATGACCAAAAGCACTACTGTGTATTTTTGTTTGTGAGTTCTGAATTGCTGTTCGAAAAAATGTAATTTATAGTTTGGTCTGATAAATGTATATTTTCTTTTATTACATTATTATGAAAAAAACGTCTCAGCAATACAGGTTGTTGTTTTTTTGTTTTTGTTTTTTTAACTCGTTGGTTTCACGCAGCAGTTCAGACGCTAAGTTCTGATCAGCGCTTCTTCCCGTCGGGGTTCTCGGTCCCATGCAAGCTGTCGTCAGGTCACATGACACGGCGGGAAGCTTGTCGGCCAAGGAAAGCGTGCTGAGAGCCACTGCAGTCCTGTCCTTTCGTTTTATATTCACTAGGTGGCGTTATATCCTGTCCACTGAACAGCGATAATAGGAAAGTTGTTTTTTTTTTTTTTTGGTATGTTTGCGGAGATGTACTGTATTTCCAATATTTTAAATAAAGTTGATATACAAAAAATTGAGTTGATTCTTTACATCAGTGGTGCTCAACTGCTTTAGCCTTGGGACCTACATTATTCTTTGGTCATTAAATCACGACCCTAAGTTCTATTTTTGTTTTTTTCTGTTATTCCACCAAAGGAGGGCTGGCAAGAAAAAAATATTTCCAGACATCTTTTTTTTTTTTTTTAAACACACAATCCATGACCCAATAAAAATGGTTCCATGACACTTTTGGGTGCGACATTAGGACACTTCATGCCCTCTAGTGGATGCACCCAGAATTTTTCTTAAATGTCCTCTGTTACAGGTCTAGCAGTATTAGCTATTGTCAATTTGAGTAGGGAAATCGCACATTTGTGGCACTTCTCTCTGTGTTTGAGCAAGCAGTCTCTCTCTCACTTTCCTTCCTAATAGACCTACAGATTCTTACAGTGAATTCCAACCATCCATCAATCTTGTACCTGTGCTCCAGGACCAGTGGCAGTGGTCAGCCACCACTTGAACCCAGGATTTGTGTGAGCCCCCCTGTTGTCCATAAAGAGTCAGTACACTAAATATTAAAATGTTCCTTATTTAGAAGATGTGGACTCCAGCTTATCCAACATCCCACTATGAAACTAAGGGTATTAATATGAATCGGTCAGTTCATTGTTGCTTTAATAGCCTCTACTTTTCTGGCAAAGCTTTCAATTAGATGCCAGAACATTGCTGGAGTTGCTGCCATTCAGGTTGGGTATTCATGTTGGGTGAAGTCCCTTTCTGTGAGCTTGTCTGACCAACCACTTCACAACTGAACCTCTTTCCAGGTATTTGTCCTTCACAGTCATTTCAGTTGCGTTTCACCCGGACAGAAATGTGGCAAACTTAGTTGTTGGAAAGATGGTGTCCTACGATGAAACCAAGTGGAAAGTCATTAATGTCTCCCCTACAACAACCACTCGTCCTGCTGATAATGTTTGTTGCAGGAGATTGCACAACTGGGTGCTTAATTATACATCTGTCTCAACAGTGGGTGTGGATTAAATAGGAAAAGGGGTGTCCCCATACTTTTGGCCATATACACTAGTGACCAAAATTGTGGAAACACTTCCAATTTACAGATCGTAGAACTTTATTACAGTTACTTATTTAATCATCCAGTGTATGATATTTGCAAACATTCTTTGATTGTTTATAGACATTACTGGAAATGTCATGTAGTAAATTTTAAAGCATAATGCCAAAAATGCACTGGTCACTAGTGCAGTGTAGCTACAAGCTTCTGACTTTACCAGCTAGCACTCTAGGGGGAGTGGTGCTTTTTGAGTGCATCCAATCTGGCCCTGCTTGTATATGGGGGTCAGAGGCCCCTCCCAGATAGTAAGAAACACATGGGATGGCTATTCATCGTGGGGCAACTATGCACTCAGTTTGCAGGTACATGTTCAGACTGCTGTCCCCTGGGACCAGGAGTAGGGCTTGAAGATCTATTCGAGATGTTTTTAAAGATGTTAGCCTAAGTGCTTGACTTTGGGGGGATATCCATGGGATGAGAGGCAGCAGAACCAGCCCCCTGAAACCTGGAGGGGTTAGGGAACCGTTCTGTCCACTGAGCCTCTAAGTTCCCTTCATTGTACGTTTTTGCGATCCGATCTCCCATTCAGGGTTTGTCCTGCCTTGGTCACCACGGTTACTGAAACCCAGGCTCATTGAGACGCTGCACCAACAGAGGGACACTGGGTGTGCACTTCCTGAAGAAGTTCTACTGGTGCATCGTGGGTAGCATCCTGCCTGGAGCATCTGCACCTGGTTTGGTAGCCGCACGGCCCAGTCGAGTGTGACCCCCTGACCCTGTGGGTCACTGACGGGAAGCAGTGCGAGGGCAGAAAATGGTGAAGATAAAAGAAGTCCTAACCCACCCCAACGACAGCTTCGTCTCGCAGCCTGAAGGCCAAAACAGACGGAGGATATGCATCTGCCGTCAGTCTGTATGCATCCTGGGCGCTAATGTATCACTGCACTTACACACTCTTACCAGCCCACTGTCACTGCACTTACACACTCTTACCAGCCCACTGTCACTGCACGGCTTTTCCAACTGTTGATATACAGGCAGTCGGGGAAATAAGAACAACAAGAATGGATCTTGTTCGTACCGCTGCCTGTACTGCTCGCTATTTTTGCCGATTTATCATTATTTATCTTATTCTCATTCTTCATTGTGTTTTGTTTTCTCTTAATAATGCCGATTTCCACAAACTCCCTCCAGGAAGCAGCTGGGAAAGCATTTCACTGCACAGTAGTACAAAGCATGACTGCGTATGTGACAAATAGCACTTGAAACTTGCATGGCTGCGCGTTTGGGCGGCAAATGGGTTTGGAGCATCAGCTGACAAACAGATTCTCTAACAGCTGCCAGCCTCAGGAAACAGGGCTGTTCAGCAGCTAAGATGGAAATGATTGTGGACCACTTTCCATTTTGCACATTTCTTATTTTTTTCTTACTGTGTTGCAACTTTGTTTAATTTATTCCTAACCTCTTATTACTTTCCTAAAGGGAGCCCTCAGCAAAACTCATTTCGTCACCTGCATCTCCTGCAGTACGCTGTACTGTTGCACATTTGATGAATAGCCTCTGATTTGATTTTAACTCACAAATTAAACCCCTACACAATCAATGGTCTACCAGCATTAAATTGATGCAGAAGTGGAGCATTTTTTTTTTAAACTTTACATATGATGTAGCACTTCTGAAAGGGAACTTCAGTGCTTATACCTCAGTTTTAATTAATGGTGTCTCTGGAAGGTCAGAGTCATTGGTAGGACCAGGCCCGGCGCCACGGGGGGGGCATAAGGGGGCGTCGCCCCCTCAGATGGATCATTCCGCCCCCTCTGTTAAAATAAGCCCTAGCTGAACTTTTCTAAAAATATATTTTAATTTATTTTAATTTTAAAAGACTAATATATAAGTTAGACCACTATAGTTAGCTAAAAAATAAAGTCTATGTTACATACGTGTCGGTACGTTCTAGACTAGATTTTCAAATCCAGGCATTTGATTGGTCAATTGGGTGAGCGGGAGCAAACTAACTCGTTTGGGTTTTAGCAACTGGGAAATATGCTACGGACACGGCAAAAGGGATTAACAGACATGCCAATAGTAAAGAACATCAAACATGCGTGGCTTTTTGGAAAGAGAGACAGTTGCGATGTTCTACAGGCAGTGACATTTCAACTGGTTAATTCCGATCAGCTCTCTCGAAACCGCCTGTAAGTCTCTGCCATTGTAGACATTATTGAATTCCTTGTCTCAAACGAATTGCCATCAATTCGGTTGATAACCGATATCAAGCGAGAAGTGGACTTTTTCTGTCTTTGTTTGATTACACTTTGAGACAGAACAAAGAGTTTGCCCGGGCTTATAGTACAGTTCCGAAAAATGCTATTGAGGTATGGTTTACTTTATGTTTTGGTGTGTTGGCTTGATCGAGAAATATGCGCCCACTTGCTTTATGTTTAATGTTAAACATCGCTGCTGTGCCATGGTGTTTGGAACGTACATTTAGGGTTTGTTAAACAGTAGCGTGTTTGTGTGTGCGATCAAACAGTTATTATCATGTAGAACTAACAATCGTACAGTGTGCATATTTTGGGAGATAAATCGCCGCCTCCTCTCTGCATTTCAATTGCCCCCCAACTTGTTTTCCACTGGCGCCGGGCCTGGGTAGGACCCCCCCAGAAGCTGAATACATCAATCATAACAGAGCTGTAATTCCTACTCCTGGCCCCAGGGGGCAACAGTCTGAATATGTACCTGCAAAATGCTGACTGAGACCTAGTGCTTAATGGTTCAGTTAGTCCTGCACACCTGCAGCCTGCCCTTGGCTGTAGCAGATGTATGACCTAGGGGAATATTGTTGATAATTTAAGTTATGAGCACCTTGTCTAACTGAAAGCTTAGAGGGCACAGTAGAACGCTCCCACCCACACACACAGATTGAGATTAAAATCCACAATGCATCTCCAAACCTCCTGCACATCCATCTAAGTCAACCCATAGTCTGCACATTTTATGAGGGAGGGGAAATTGCTTTCACACATCCCGAAAAAAAGGACCCAGCTTTGTGAAATTAAGGATTTTGCAGCACTTGACTACCTAACCCATATTCTCAATATTGCAAGCTATCTTTCTATACAAGCCTCCTCTGAAATCTGAAAAATACTATCACAAATAACCCCCTCACATATACCAGCAATTTCTGAAACCCAGTGCTTTTAAACAGTCCCTAAATGGTTAATTGGATGTAATTAGAGATGCCCTCCAGCTGACGCTGATTACAGCATCACCCCAAAGCTCCTCTTATCCAGGAACATAATTGGATTGGTCTGGGATAGGGGCGCAGTATAGCATGTAAGAGCCCAAAATCTTTAGTGGCATCCCTGGGGCCTGTACTACGAAGCAGGGTTACTGGCTTATCGGGGTAACTTGTCGGATTTAAGGTAGTCTGGGCAAAATGTAAGTGAACGAATATGAAGTCCATTTAAACTGTGGTACCTTAAATCCGACAAGTTACCCCGATAAGCCAGTAACCCCGCTTCGTAGTACAGGCCACTGAGCACTGTTACCTGATGTTATTTGGCGTTACTCACTTCAATTTCAAATCATCTGTGCGCATCAAGTTTCAGGACGTGTTTAAAAAAGTCACGAGTAAAAGACACATTGAACAATTTTATTACCAAGAATTTGAGTGCATACGTAAACAACCAAACACATACAAAGATAATGTACAAACACTGTTGTTTTTTTCATTTCTAAACAAACTATACTTACATTTCACAAATGCCTTTGCTCACGCAGCAAGCAGACTTACTGGCATCCTGTCAAACCCAGTGCTATGCTGTTTTTTATTTTTTTATTTTTTAAATAGAGACTGGCTTTAAATCAAATTACAGGAAAACTGCGTTTTTTAGACGACAACGCTGTAAATTAGCAGTGCTAAGCAGGACAGGAGTTGCATATCACATGTACCTTTGGAGAAATGGAATTTAAGATTCGTAATGTCCCTAACGACGGCAGATGCGATGATAGTTCTCAGAAATCTTAAACGTATTAAAAACAAATTAACATTTTGATTAGATTGAAAGGTTCAGTCAGGGACTGAATGTTAGCATAAATAGTTCTGAAGTCTGCTCGAAGGCATTCAGTTATTCAGACTACAGTAGTTAATCTCTGGAAACAATGAAGGCTTTGCAACTGTTTGTTGGTACGTAAACGTAATGCACATTCAAGTGTTAATTGGTTTTTATTAAATTACGCTAAACTTGACTGTGTTGTAGGTCAGTTATAGGGTTACGCAACTGTCGTTGACACTTCTGATTTTGAACCCTCTCCACTTCAACCTCGGACCCTCTACAATATGAGGATAATCCAAACATTTATTCTTGTGGGCAGTTTGTGTGGCTAATCCAAGGGTTTATGGTTAAAACAACAAATTATATATAGGCTTAGTATATCAAATGAAATCATAAACATTTTGGCATGCACTCCGATCCTGGTGGAATAACGGTAAAAGTACTATATATTTTAAATATCAAAAACCCAGGGCACCACCCGCAGGCTATATCAAAATAAAGCGTTATGCTTCTGAGATGTTTGAACAAAAGCCGCTATTTGCATATTAAAACACGTGTGACAGAGTGTACACAAATGCATGAAGGCAAACATAGTCGTATAAGCTCTGCGAACAGCATGCAGTTTGAGCAATGACACCCAGGACTTGCGGGTAAATATTTGGAGGTCCTCGAGACCGAGATTAAAAAAAAACCTTGAAAGAGACACACTGAAGGCAAAGTTTACCGATATATCATGAAATACCACTAGGGGGCAGAATGAATTCAAACAACCTGAGAAGGTGAACGTGGTTTGACCAAAAAAAAAAAAATCAACATCAAAGCATAATGCTTAGGTGGTTTATCTAATACTCATTAAAGGATACAGAGGTAATTTATGAAACAGCAAAACTCCCAGTTAATTTTAGCATGTTAAAATAAAATCAGGATTTGCCTTATTAGAACAACTTCATTTCCAGAAAACCTAATTCTACACAATTCAATAAAATTCTCAAAGGTCAGCTGATTAGTTCACAAGGATGTTGAAACATAACTAGCATAGAGAAATGGTGCGATGTTTAAGGAGAGGTCTGGAAAAATACATGATTTTCGTCGGCGTGTTTTGGACAGTCGAAAGGACGTGATGTCGCGTGGAGAGGCACCCCCGGTATTTGTGTCATATTTCGTTTATCGTTCTCAGGATTCCGCTGCTCTGTTTCCACCCTGTAATGACTGCGTGTGGCACAGTGGACGCTTATCTACGGATAAATATACGACTGCACGGCAGTGTCAGCCTCGCTTGGAAATAAACGAAGCAGAGGTAATTCACCAGCTCGGGTAGCAGTGAGAGAAGTTAACAATAAATCCTTCCAAAACCAGCATCTCTGTGCATACTCTCTAGTCCCCAGCCGTTCTCTCCCGCAAAGAGCCTGGGAGCGAACCTTATTGAAAATTTACAAAAAGAAAAAGCAATCTGATCGTTCAGTGTCAGTCAGAATGGAGGTAGTCGATTTGGTGCGCAGTTATTCCTAAAAGGGCGACCTTCCGTAAATAATGTGTAGAAGGGCAGAAAAGATGTCCATCAGGAACTGTGTGTGTGTCCTTGGAGCACAGTAAACATTATGATTGGCTTTGAGATTCAGTGTGCTCTCTCATATATTAATTCTGTAATATTACCTATTTACTCTGATAAATAAACTTTATCTCCCTCCTCTACATCAGTCGCGCAGAAATCACAAGCTATAAGTAATTTGAAAAATGTAATGAGTGTTCATATATATATAAGTCTTGGAGGAAAATACAAACCTTACGTATGTACAGTACTGTGCAAAAGAAAATTATGTTTAAAGCTATTTATCTGGGCAGTAAGCAGGGGCGTCAGTAGGTCTATTTGAAGTGGGCTTTAGCCCCCCTAAAATGTTACTAGCCCCAAATAAATGTGTATTTATTGGATTAAGTCATGAAAAGTTTGCCATTAGCCCCCATAGTAAAGAGTAAGACCCCCATCCATTAATCTCCGGCAGTAAGTGCATGATTGCTGAAACATTTAACACAGAATGTGTGTGTGTGTGTGTGTATGTATATATATATATATATATATAGACGCACACACACACACACACACACACACACACACAATAAAAAGCTACAGTGATGGAAGTGATGGGTAAGAGTTACTGATACTATGATCTCATTCCATGTATTTGTTAAATTCCACCACCAGCTCACTTAATTAAGTTAGTTGATTAACTTCATGAGGTATTGATTAGCCAAATGAAATGTGCTTGTGGTCAAGTGTAACAAATCAGGGATATATTGGATGGTTTCTGTAAATACAGCGTCGATCTAAAGAGGTTTTGACACATTCTGACAGACATAAAATCATAGTTTTATAGCGACATAAAGATCATTTAAACATAATTTTCTTTGGCAGCCTAAGATTTCTGCACAGTACTGTATATACCTATATGTTGTATAGCCTTATATAATAGGATTTAATTTTGTATTGAGTAGCAATGTATCAATGGAACTATAAATAAAGTGATATTCTATAATGCCAGTGGTAACATGGTTTAGTACCAACACTGACCTCAATCCCATATTCTTCCGCTCTCTTTAAGGTAGTCTGGGCAAAATGTAAGTGAACGAATATGAAGCTTCTCTCACCTCTGTCTACAGCCCGGACTCCGCCGGACTGGCCGAGCCAGCCGGAACCCCTTCCTGCGTCCTACGACCGCAGGCAGTTGCATACTGTAGCAGCGTCGCAGTGAGTCTGTACCGGTAGGGGGGGTACGGCGCTTCTACGCCTGAGGCAGCTGATCCGCGCTCATCCGCTTTGGGCTGTGACTAAGGTCAGTCCCCATAGGCACATTTAAGTAAATTGTTTTTGGGGAATTTGTTAACTTTTATTATTATCAAAAAATATATCCAAATGGTTTGGTTATTTGTACGCCTAAGTTTTACCTGTAGTTTCTAAGGGAGACTTTAGCACCAATTTTACAGTATTCAGTTCTTTTATAAAATCCTTCTTACTGATATGGACTTTTGGATGTTAGTCTTAAACTTGGTTCAATTTCTAAACTGTGAAAAACAGGATATTCAAGCATTCTGCTCCTGTGTTCCTGTGTTTAAAAAGTCTAATTGAATTAGTAGCAAGGCATTTTACTGGGGCTGGGTTGGAGTTAAAAAAAACCTCTCCTTTCGTAGTAATTTGTGCAGACATTGAATAGCACTTTAAGAAACATTATTAAAAACAGACATGCCCGGAAGTACATAAAAATGTTTGAAATGACAGGATGCAAGGTGTTCAACCACAGTACGAATTTCTTGGTGTCAAGCTTAGGACAATAGAAGTTTTAGCTGGACAAGAATCTTTGGGATAATTTTATCTTTGCATACAAAAGTATCATCCACACTTCTGCCTAAATGGAATCGAATCTGGTGATCTTTGCCAAAGATAGGATTCCTTGTCACGTGTAACTTTTTTTTTTCCCCCACGTTTCCAACGGTAATTCGGTCAAAGTAACAACTTGCGTACAAAACCCCAATGATCCGGCACGGCGAGCCATCGGCGAATGTCGGAAAAAGCCAGACGATGGATGCTGGGAGGAAAAAAAACAAACCAAAGATCCTGTCTTCAGGCCAAAGTCCTCCACAGACGGTGATGTCACAGCATGAATCACATGATCGTCTGGAGCCATAACAGTATTAGTACAAGTAGTTGCAGTTGAAGTAGTAGCATAGTAGTATTTGTAGTCCTAGTGCTAGGATAGCAGTTACTCTCCCTAAGTTCCAACAAGTCCGGGAGCCAAGTCTCAAAGTCTGATTGTAACCAACCTATAAAGTGCTTTCCAAAAGAAAAAAAAAATCAATGTAAAAAATATTATAATAATAACAATAAAAATAACAATAATAATAATATCAATAAGGAAAAAAACTAAAGGACAGGAAAAAGGAAGAGGGTAAAAATGGAGGTGTAGGCACAAGCACAGCGGTCACTTCTTGAAGGGCGTGAGCCTGCCGATGTTATGCCAGAAGTTTGAGGTCTTGCGCTTGGGCTCTGCCAGCATGAAGACCTGCTGCTGCGGCAGGGAGGTCGGCAGGGTCGGGTGCTTCTGCCGCAAGAGGAAGTCGTAGTAGGGCCTGGTCACAGCTGTGGGGGGGGGGGGAGAGCGAGGAGGACTGTCAGGGGAGGCAAGATGGCTGCTCGTGTGTGAATGAGAGGCCTGGATTTACTGCGAGTGAGGGTATCTTGTTTAAAATTGCCTTGAGTTCTTCACATTTAGGTGTAAGGGATTAATAAAGCCCTGCCACTAGAGGGAGACAGAGAGGACAAGCCTTTTTCATCAGTTTGAGATGGTGGGCAGTACTATGGGTAATCTGTTAGGCCACCTAAGAAATCCAGAGGGTAGGGGAGACGCCAGTGGGGGTTAGGGGGTCACACTCTCACTTTTAATGGATGGGGTCGTGACCCCGGGTGGACACCCAGGATAGGGCCCTGCGCAGGACTTCTCGAGTCTCAGGGAGAGGGCGAAGGGGGAAGTCTGTGATCCGTCGGAACAGGGAGGGGTTGAAATGGAGGAGAGCATGGGTGCTGAAGTCGAAAAGGTGCCGAAAGTCTGAGCCAGGGGGAGGGGAGCATTTGTGACAGACAAACCGGCAGACAAAGCAGGTGGATGAGAGAAAACATAACAGGAAGAGAATGAAAAGATGACGCACACGCCACACCATGCTCTGTCCTAATTCCAAGCAGGTCATGAGCGTCAGCTGGAATTTATGCAGAATAAAGCAGGATGATTTAGCAGATCCACAGTCAAGCTTGGGGAATTGAACAGTGCCAAGCAGCTTGTGATGTTGCATTGCTAGTTTTCTCTCAGACATATTCATCCATGAAGTCGAAAAGGAAGGAATGCAAAAGGCCTAGCATACATTAACTTAGCGTTCACTAACCTGCCATTTGCTAACCTAGCATTCCCTAACATGACACTTGCTAACCTAAAATTTCCTAATGTAGTCTTTGCTGACTGAGCATTTACTAACTTAGCATTTTCTAACCTAGCAATGCTAACCTAGCATTTTCTAACATGGCACTTGCTAGCCTAGCATTTCCTAATGTTGCCTTTGCTCACTTAGCATTTACTAACCTAGCATTTGTGGTAACGCTTTACATTAACTGCACCTTCATAATGCTTTTATATTGGATTCATAAAACGTTCAGTACACCTTCATAATGAATTCATTGAGTATTAGTAAAACATTCATAAACATCATGTATGTATACCTTAACATCCTAACATCCCTTAACAGCTGTAATATACATTAATAACAAACATTATATAATAATAACAAACATTATAATTGTATAATCATGTAATGTTTGTTATTAATGTGTATTACAGCTGTTAAGGGATGTTAGGATGTTAAGGTGTACTTGCATGCTGCTTATGAATGTTCTATAATGCATTATGAATGCATTATGAAGGTGCACTTAATGTAAAGCATTACCGCATTTGCTAATCTAGCAATGCTAACCTAGCATTTCCTAACGCAGCACTCGCTAACCTATAATTTACTACACATGGGTTTGTAAAGAAATTCAGAGTAGTACCTTTAGGCTTTCCTGCCGGGTGACTTTTGTTTGCATTCAGCATTGCCTGCTTCTTTTGGATTTCAGTAATGGCAAAACCTGGAAAAAAATTGTACAACTTCACAAAAGATCTACCCATGATAGTTTTCTGCATAAATGAAAAAGAACAGATGCTCTGATCATTCCAGAGAACCCCAGAACCTGAGAGCCAGGCCAAAGGGTTTCAAGAAGAAAAACAAAAGAACATCAATCAAGACTTAGTGTACAGTCACAGAGGTAGGATTAAATCAAGCGTGAGACGGCTTTATGGGCAAATTGGGACATAAATCCACCAGTTCCCTCCAACAACAAATGTCTGCGGCCTTGCCAAAATACAGGCATTAACATATCAGGCCCCAACAACATATTTTACTACAGATTTATGCATTCTTCTTAATAACAAGGGCTCAAAGGTCACCATCATAAAATACCACCAATGGACTGAAATAAAATACAGTCTAAACCATTTGTTTTTTTTTAACACGCAGCCTATTTAAAAGGCAAGTTGGAGCTGTTGGGAATCATTGGCTCGTGGCCTATTGGCTCATTTCTGCACAGAAGAATTGAACCACATCCCGTCTTTAGGACAGATGGACTCATGAACATCTCAGCAAATCACAAGAGGTCTTAAGAATGTGGCATAGTGATCTAACCAGAAGGGGTTGAAGGTGGGCCTCACCTGTCTCCTGGTCATGCCGCACCTGCCCGCGCTCATCAGTGAAGGCCCGCAACCACCTCTGCTTCTGTTCGGGCTTCTTGGCGCAAAGCAGTAGGGCTTCGCCCCCTGCTGCCACTGAGCACAGTTTCAAAGCGTTCTTCACGCTCAGGTTAAAGTCCTTGTCCTTGCCATCCTCCAGGTCCAGCACTTCCATTTGGTCCATGTCCACCCGGCCCTTGTAGTACAGTATGTCTCTACGCAGCAGATCCTAGGTAACATGGAGATGCACAGGAGAACGACCTAGACTGTGTTCCGCTCATTCCTCTCAGACTTTCATGATCACGCAACTGATGGCCAGCTGCCACTTACCTTTTTGCAGTAGACCATCTGGTGGTCGAAGAGGAAGAACATACGCTGCTGGCTTTTCGCTTGAGGCTGGGATATCTTTGTCAGCTCTCCTGAGAAGATGAGGTCTGAGCTCCTGGCGAGTACATCTTCACCCTGGACGTAGCACATGGAGGCTCGTGAGGAAGAAGCCACACAATGGATGGGTCTGGAATGGTTCCTGTACTTTACTATTAGCTCACCTCCCAGTCTTCTATGGAGCTCTGCCACTGTGCGATCTTGTCGATGTTCTCCAGCCGCCTCTTCCTCTCGTTGATGAGCCTGGCAACGTTCTTCATGGCGTTCAAGGCGGCTTCCACATCTTTGTAGTCCCTGCATGCCAACAAGTGGCCAGTTAGATTATGGTCATATAAACTCTTAGACCAGTTCCACAGTACTGCATGCTGGTGGTGGGGGAATATGTTGGACATTATACCTGTGCTGAGGGTTGGTGTACTTGAGCAGCTCAGCCAGTTGCAATGGGTACTTGCATATCTTCTGGACCGGCGTGAGCAGGAAGCCATCCAGGGAAATATCAATCATTTTCTGCAGCAGACGGCAAGCCTCAAAGAAGAATACATATTTGTTGATCTTCATGAGCTTGGAGAGTTGGAGACAGGCGTTGGGGTGATTATTACAGTATTCCGAGTATATCTGAAAGTCTGTTTGCTGTAATGAAAGAAGAAAAAAGTCTTATTACAAATGTGAGGAAAGCAATTACCAAAGTGCAGAATGAGGCTATATTGTATGGTGCTTACGTGCTCCAAGAAACAGGAACCTATTTCACTCAGGTGAGGTTGTTCCTTGTTGAACTTCTTCTCAAGGCCTTTGAGGAACTTCCTTTGGAAGCGGTAGATCTCCTCGATGTTGCCAAAAATGGTTCGGAGCTGATCTTCGGTGAACATATCTGTCCTCTTGCGGCATTGTTTGATGTAACCCTGCAGGAATCCAGCACCGTTGTGAGATGGAGAACCAGTCTATGTTACTGTAGGTACTGATGTACTTCATAGTGATAATATATTAGATGACAGAGGTGCTCCCTGACTGCTGAGAGGTGTTCCTCAACTTCTCATTGAGTACTTCAGTGATATAGTCCACCACTAGACAATCTGACTGAACTAAACAACATTCTTAAACACTTGATTAGATGCATGTAGTCCACTGGAGAAATGTAACAAAGCATGAAGGTGGTTGGAATACTCAAAAACAGTTTGGATCAAGTACCGTGGTATGAAGGTCAACAGGGCCATTTCTTGGGACTTGAACCAGAAATCTTCTAGCTCAACCACTTCTTTGATACCTTCTGCCCGTTAAAGGCCACTGAGGCTAAGTGACATGGCTGGTCACCTTACCTCACAGATGTCCTTTAAGTGCTTTATGTAGTCCTTCTCGGTGCTCATGATCTCGTTGATGACATTGCTCCGCATCTGCTCCTTGCAGGGCAGGCCTGGGCCCACAAGTCTCCCCACACCACCCCCGTCCTCTTCCCTGGTGCCCTCCAACTTGGCTAGGTAGTCCATAGGCTCATCTTGGTTCACACGTAGCTACAGTACAGAGAAGAGCCAGAATGTAGGGTGTTTGCCGTCTCACCACCTTGCTGTTTCACTATGGTAGAGTGCCCTCTAGTCTAGTCTCTCAGAATTGCTGACCATATAGTTTTACTCAGTCAATAGACCTACCTGTTACCCCAAGACCTCTGCCTGTTATGTTATTTTATATACTGGATTTATATACTTATACATGCCATGGTAGAACTCTTTATGTGAAGTCACTGTGTTGATGTATGTTTCTGAGATTTGAATTCTCAGATATCCTTTTGGAAAATTTCAGAGAAAACTCACCTGGCCCTAAAAGACAGGATATCTACCCTGCTGGAGAAAAAAACTGCTTGACCACTATGAGCTGCTTGACTGACTTATGATAGTTGACTAACTTAAGGTTTGTCGTCGCATGATGGTTTGGTGGTTTAGCTGGTCACGCCACCTTATGATGGTCATTCTAGCTGGTTTAGCTGGTCATACCAGCATGTGCAACGGGTGACCCACCCAGCTAAACCATCAAAGAGTAGCACGAGCTGGTACATGACCATCTAACACCATGTTAGTCAATTTTAGGCAACTAAAACCAGCTACCAGCATAAGCTGGTTTGTAGCTGTATTTTTAGCAGGGTACCAGGTTTCGGAGACGTCTTACGTAGCTCCACACCAAGTGAGATTCCTAGATTTAATACCTACCTTAAGGACAAGTAGTAAATGAGGACAGTTTTAATGAGTTAAAAATGTGACGTGTCTCTTGTGTAAAGCGGTTAAATTCCCGTGTGAGGATCTGGGGGCAGCCTAAAGGGGGCAGTGTATGGAGGGCTTCTCACCCGAACGAAGCTGGCCGGGAACCAGCCCTCGCTGTCCAGGATCCGCCCCCACCACCACTCCTTATTGGTGGCGTCCACTACTTCAATGACGTCGCCGGCCTTGAAACCCAGCTCTTGGTCATCCATGGTGACATGATCCCATAGGGCCTCTGCACACACGCTGCCATCGCTGATCAACTGGGGGGGTGGGGGTGGGGGAGGCGAGGGTTATGATCAGCACTGGAGGAGGAGGACCGGTGCACAACGCAAGTCATGTGACTCTAGCTGGACAATACATTACAATGACAGCTTTGCTGACATTTACAGCCACACACAAAAAAACACAGAAAAATGTTCCTCTCCTTACAAATCATGCTGCAAATAGCAGCGTTAGTGCACCATGAACACAGCCCTGTGACTCAGAAACTGCAGGTGGCTGAAGGGATTAATCGCTAGAAAAATCTGTCAACTTCAGTCTGACTGTGCTTCAGAATGAGGCCTTAAACGTGGACTGACGTGAAAAGCCATGAGAGCTACGATATAAACAGCCAGCATGCAGCCAAAGGCACGCACAGATTCTTAAGGACACCAAAACTACAGTCAGCTAAATGATGCAGACACACGTTGCTGGTTTGAGTAATGTAGTACACACAGTGCAAACACACACATGCACACACACACATACACACTCACACATACGTACACAGCCAGGGCAGCCATGACGCAGCAAAAAATTGATTACACATGGAGTTTGGGGTGGGGAACACATGGGTCGCTTAACATGCAGGAGAGTGAGAACAGACTCAGGCTGTTCACCCACAACTCCTTTAACATTCCATCGCCATGGCGACCAGCACCGCAGACCGTTGCTAAGTGACACAGCCGCAGACGTTCTCAGCATCCCATGAATCATTACATAACCTAACACTCCAAAGCGTTGTGAGTAGACAGCAATCGAGGGCGACTGAGTGAAGATGCAATTCTCTCATTGGCTTGGATGATGGATGATCATACGTGGCGTAACTCAACTGCAAATATGCTGCTATGCTTTGCTGCATGCAGACATAAATGCATGGATGCTAAACAGCCTCTCTGCTTGCATCTCTAGCATTCAGCCAGCAAAAGACATGGAAATCGTTGTCTTCGATGTCCGCCACGGTATAACTGTGCCACCGTTCACCTGGTAATACACGCATCCTCATGCACACACATTAACTCCAGGCTCTGCAGAAGCGGACACCAGCTGCCTGCGTACGACCAAAATCAGGCCCGCGAAGCCTCTGCGCGGCCGAGCCCCCCAACTGCTTGGGGGTGGGTGGGTTGGGGGGGAGGGGGATGTGACCCCCGCAGAGGAGGAACAGAGGTCGTGATGCTCTGCGGATGGCCAGGAACAGGCACCGGGTCATGGACCACTGCTCACCGTTGCTACGGATGACAGGAATGGCTCGGTGCGGATGAGTAAGTCAGCGCCAGGGCTCAGCTGAACGATGAGCGAATGGATGGAAGGTCCCAGCAGGAAATGTAGACGAACAAAACGAAAGCCTTCCCCTGCTCTTCTTAGGATAGCCTAACCGGCAGACCATAGAAAACACACGTCATGTTCGACCCTCCCCGCAGCGTTGCCCCTCGTAGCTGCCTTTACCTGCGTCCTGGATTCACAGAGAATGTGAGGTGCAGACCCGCCCCCCCCCCCCCCCAGACCCCCCCACGAGACTCTAGCGCAGCTCCAGTGGTAACGGTGGCAGCGCCACCTGGAAGATCAGCGTAGCGGTGGCAACCGTGGCGACGGGCACCTCTGCCTTCTATTCCTGCAATTTCGGATTACAGCGGCGGAGGAGGAGAGCGTTATCCGGACGAGCTGGGCAGACTGGCGGAGAGCCGCTCATCGTGCCCCCCCCCCGGTGGGATTCTGGGGGGAGGGGGTGTGCATGTGCACGTGAGGTGTTCCACGTCTGCACTGCCTCGCTCACTTCCTCTTCCTTTCCATCCCTCGCTCTGCTGCTTCCTCTTATGCGCAGTCAGGAGTGTCGCTTGATCTCGCCGTTCCCAAATACCCCTCCCAATGCTGCTTCCATCTCTCTCTCTCTTTCTCTCATCCCTCTCTCTCCTTGTCCCTTCCCCTCGCTCCCTGTTACTGCTAATCTTCTTACGCCCAATAATGTTCTCTTTTCCCTTTCGTTAGAAATGCCTGTTTTGTCTCTCATCTGAAGGACGAAAAAACCAAGGCGGACTCTCTGTGAGCCCGCTGCGGGAATTCGATCTGGCTCCTGTGCATTTCCTTCCATAACTTAATTAGTCTCCTCACTCTTGTTACGAAAGCGACCAATCAGCCATCTCGCTTCCGCGCCGTATCCTAGATACTGATCGCGGCCGCAGCGTGATAGCAGGAGACGGCGGAAATTCACGGTATGTCATCTTAAAAGCTGTTTTGTCTCCTACGGTGTCAGTGATTCATTAAGGCCGACTGAGTGCAAGAATCCCGGGGAATTCTGAGAACGATCTTAATTAAGGGAAAAGGGTTTAATTTTCACGTCTTGCCTGCAGGGAGGCGACAGACAGCTCACAACATCACGCTGATCTCTTCCTGTTGACAGCCTATACTGCTTTCCATGGCTCCGCCCTCTCATCTCCTGCACTTCCTGCACGGATTTCATCTCCTGCACATCCCCTCCCCCCCCGAGCCCCCAGCCCAGTTCAGAGGGGGTTTGTGGTCATTCCTGTGAATCATCACAGGATCACATCTCCATCCTTTCAGACGCACCCTGAACAACAATGACGACAACATTCCTACTAGCCTAATGCCCCCATGTGTTCCCTGAATGTTCTTGTTGCAGTTCTGGTCCTTGAATAGTCTTATTAGCTTTTTGCTTTGTTGCAATTTGTTCTGTACCAACTGCTCCAATACTATCTACATTTGTACCTCGGTGTTCATTGGAAGCTCAGCCTATCTGCACTTAAGCCTAGTTGACTCCATGACAACAAGTACGTTTATGATGTGCAAATTGCCTCACTTGTACATCACTTTGGACAAAAGTGTTTGCTAAATGTGCAAAATATACACAACCTCAGGAAAGCCTTCATGCAGAGAGAAGCACAGGCTTCTTGGGGCAGGAAACTCAAAACTGTCTCTGAAATCGCAGATTTTGCATTCTGGATTGAACTAACCCTAATATTCGCATCCTGGAGGGGGGGGGGCTCTGTAAACAGCACCCTGCCGTCACTATCAGCATGAAATCAGCACAGTACGAAAGAGTCTTAATTGTTCCTACACCAGATGGCTTTTGTAATCTGCGGCGGTTGTGCCGTCTCATGTCGGAGATGGCGGGATGGCCCATCTTTCATCCAATCAACGTCTACAGCAGATGCCAAAGAAGAAGATTTGTTGATCACTCTGCCACTCAAGGGGGCTGGGGGCGGGGTTTGATTTGGGTGACATGGGAGACACAGGAGGTTGTGTTGACTTGGGAATATTTATGTCAATGAGAGGGTGGAGCGTTTCGAGCGCACACACACAAACACACACACACACACACACACACACCCCCGGGAAGAAAGCGGTACTTCAGCATGGAAAGAGCAGTGTCTCGTACCTCGTTGATGGCGAGCTGCTCCCCCCCCCCACCGGGGTGGCCGAAACGGTGGGCGGAGCTGCGGAACTCATCATACAGGTCCTCCTCACTGCCCACATCATCGCTCGGGCCGGCCCTGTCAAGCGTCCCGTCAGGAATCACCACCGCTGGGGGAGAGGGCAGTTTCTGTTACAGCAATGAACCACCCATATACAGCGCGGCACTGATTTACGTTCCAGAAAAACCAACATAAATTTAAGTAACATGAATAAGGAAACCCCAAATGATTTTCCCAATTATCAGTAAAACTATGAAAACAATTATACAAGTAACAAAGAACAATTTGAAATGAATAATTAATACAATTTTATGTAATGAAGTTTCATAGAACGGTACCAATACATAATGTTGTTTTGCTTCATTGGCTGAAACCTCAAAGTCGGAAAAATGACCACTTGTAGCATTTTTTTGTTTATTCTTCGGCTGAAAATGGTTGAAAGTTCAAACTTCTGGTACCAAAACCCAAAAAAGGACAAATAAAGCGTCAACCAAGTTACTGAGGACAATCGTCAATCTTTACTGCAATTCAAGTTGGCAGATGCCACAAGTGCATAGGATACCAGCCCAGCAGGGATGCCAAAATCCCATAATCTACTTTTGTCTGCAGATTTCACCTGTTTTATTGGTTATCATCTTGCACAAATTCAGACTGATTGCTCGGTTCAAAGGTTCAACAGCATTGGTCCTACATGAGACATAAGATTTGCATGTTTCAGACTCCGTAACCGCTCCCTCGTGTCCTCCAGCCTGTTAGATAGATGACGTATTGAGTGCCGCCTGTTCCAGGGCATTCTGGACTGTGTGGCGTGTGGGGACCTTGTGGGGACCTTCAGCTGACTCCAGACATTGATGGGTGTCAGAGTCATAAGGTCACAGGGGCGGGGTCTTGGAAAGGAAGAAAAATGCTGATCCACTCGGCCGATGTCTGGAGCGATCCCTATTAAGCCCATTCTATTAACCCCTCACTCATCCCTGACTTTGCCCTTTGGCATAGTTTTTAAAAACCCCTACTCTGTCATGTGACCAATGTGCTTCTGCCTGATTAGGTACAGACTGGCTGAAATCTGGGGTAGAACATAGTAGTCATTCCAAGCCTCATATCATAAACCTGGCCAGGAAATAAAGGCAGTGCTATGGAGCCATACTGCGTCCTCCCTTCCAGAAAGTTCTTTCTGCCTCTCCTCTACTTGGTATCCTGCCAAGGATGATGCCTAAGTTCTCTCACCCCTTTCGGGCGAATCGATTGCTCCGATAAGGGCCTGGCCGTGGTCATGGGACGGCTGTTTCACTGTCTGGACTAAATGGGAAAAAAAGCAAAAGAAAAAAAAAATCAATCCTTTAATGAGAGGATGTCTGACTTTTAAATGCATCCTGGAACCAGAAAAAAAAGAACCTTACAGTCGCCGGGGGTGACACAATGTTCCCATTCTGTCCTGATCAGTCGCAGCGAAGATCCGTGTGATGATGCATGCATGTATGTGTGTATGAGCTGATGCCGGGGGGGGGGGGTGTTCCGCTCCTCAGTGGGGGTGAGCTGTGGGCAGCTTATAGACTGAGGTCCCCATGTCCCTATGAGACCTTGACACTCGCTATGAAGGTCCATGTTCCTCCCCAACATAACAC